ATGAAACCAATGAATAGAAACGACGGAGAAGGTCAACAAGGGCAAAAACAGTTTCAAAGTTAAAGTCGCTCAAAAGTGGTATCTTCTGCATCACTTTATGCTATTTGAAGATTGGGGGACCACTGACGATAAGGATGGGAGTTTTGCAAAATGAATGGTTGGCCTAGACAGCCTTCAGTGTTTCCTTCCTGTAGCACACCCCAGACCCCTACTTGCTTTTCCCCTATCTGCCAACGTTTTTATAACTGTTCACCATTGTCATTTCCTCCATATACCTTCTTTGAGTACTTTATCATGGGCCAGGTTCTGTGTTAAACGTTTTGTTATGGTTCCTATTGCTACATAAAAACAACCTAAAAACTTAGTGCCTTAATAGAACAATTGTTCAACACTTTTCACAGCACCTCTTAAAGCTGTGCATTGGCTGGGCTGTTCTGCATCCCATGGGGTCAGCTGAAGAGCTGGGATGACTGCCAGGGAGTGCTGGCCCATAGCCAACCCCGTCAGCTAGGATGCTTCCCTGGGGCCTTGGTTCTCCTTCACATCAGTCTTTCAGCAGGGCTGCCTGGGCTTCTTTGTGTCATGATGGCTGGATTGCCCCAAAGCATCGTTTTAACAGGTGAAGGTGGAACTTGTACATGTTCTAGGGCCCAGCCTTGGAAGTTTCACAGCATATTTTTTGCCGCTTTCAGAAGACTGCAAGTTCAAGTGTAGCCCAGAACCTGAATTTAGCCACTTAGCAAGGCCCTGTCTCAATATGGAAAAAAAGGGGGATGAGCTGAGGATGTAACCCAGTGAGACCTGAACTCATTGAAATGGTTGTCTTTGGGGGCTGGGGATTTAGCTCAGCGGCACAGCACCTGCCTGGCAAGCATAAGGTTGTGAGTTTGATTCCTGGTACCAGAAAAAAACGAAAAACAAAAAACAAAAAGTTGTCTTTGGACTTTTCCACTTTATTTTCTCTCCATATTTCCATTCTCTATTGTCTTGGGAGATTATTTATCTGGCTTGACAAAAGGAGAATTACTGTCTTTTGCAGCAGAAATCTAGAAGGGTAAAAGCTATCGGTGTTTACTGTCATTACTGGCTTCCTCCATCCTTTTCTAGCAAAGTGGTCAGGTTTCCCTCTAAAATGGTTCTTGATTTTCCACATTCTTGCTCATTTTTGCGGCTAGAAGCATGTTTTGCCAGTAGAGGGAGCTCAAGGCTTGATTGCTCATAGAGCATGGGGTGGGGGTGGGGGAAAGCTTTCTGCTCCTTACAAGAGAACACTTCCTTTTCCTTCCCAGATGGAGTTTGCTTGTGCAACACACTGGACAGCTGCAAAGACATTTGCTAAAGAAAATGAAGAGAGTAAAACTGAAGTGGCAAAGGTCGATAACCGCTAAAGAAAAAGAAATATTGCTAAAGCACAGCAAGGAAGACCTTGTTTAAGATCTGATCAGTGTAGGGACCACTGCAATAGGATTTTTGCAGTAGGGGGCAGAGAAATGGAGCCTAACTCCAAAGACAACTCAGCCAAGTTGGAATTTATAGATAAGGGTCAGGGTGTGGGTCAGTGGGTAGAAAATTACTAAGAAGAAATGGGTAAGATTCTGGTTAAATCAACCTTCCATGATTCTTGATAAAGACAGGCCAAGGTGCTCAGATATCACCTGAGGGGTGTTGGAAGGTGAGGAACCAAATCATATTATCAGTGGTGATCCGATACGTAGAGGGAGGGGGGTCTTGCTAAGCTGATTGGAAGGGTTCATTGCTCTAACTGAATTTTACAACAAATGCATAGATGGGCCTAGGAGGAGGTTCAGGGACCAGACTAAAGTCTGGTCAAGTAAAGTGTCTTTGCCCCAACCTTGTACCTTAGAGCCCCAGAGCTGTGTGGCCAATAGGCCTTGGGAGATTTGGATATGCAACTTGTCTGGAAAATGGGCACATTAATCTTGCTTTGAGATTCAATTATAATGTATGTGAGAGTAATCTAGCTTTGTGAACTAGCTTGGTTAAAAAAAAAAAATCTCACAAAATGTAAGAGATTTTTAATGCTGAAAACAGTATTACTTCTAAACTACGTGCAGTGTGTGTGTGTGTGTGTGTGTACATGTTCTGGGGATGGAAGCCAGGGGCTTACATGTGCTAGGTAAGCGCTCTCCCACTTAGCTACACTCTCAAACCAACTTCCTTTTTATTTGTCAGTCTCCTAGGGATAGCTACAGCTCTGTCTATCACAGATCCCTCCTCGGTTTTGCCCTCTTTGGAAAGCACCACCTGCCTTTTGAGTAAGGGAGGGTAAGAAGCCCTGCCAACACCTTGTCTTTCTATAATAGTAGACTGCTAGCTTGTTCACTTTTCTTTGTGAAAGAACCCCGGAAAGGTTTGCATAAGCTCAGGATGGAAGATCAAAAGGGTGTCTGGCTCAGCCCTCCTTCATGCAAACTACCTTCCTTCATAGGACCCCCAAATGGTCCTAGAGATATCTGAATGCCTGAATTGATACATCTCCAGGTGCCTGTGTGCTTAACTATTATGCTGGGATGCTCCATAAACATAATTATGGGGTCACATTAGTGGTGGATGAAAAATGAGGGAATAATTGGGCTTATAAAGGAGGACAAGGGACAATAAAGCAATGGCAAGAACCTCGTTGCTGGAATCAGACTGACCTAGTTTTAAAATCCAGGTCTGTCACTTACTGAGTAAGCTACTTTACTTCCAGGGCCTCCATTTCTGCATCTGTAAAATGGGCCTACAGTCTCTGCAAAGTTAATGTATGGCTTGGAGACAATTCATGGTTGTTATTCATGAATAAAGCAGGAAGAGCGGTGAGCTAAAGAACAGTGTAATGCGAACAACTGACAAGATTTCAAGGAGGTTCAAAGAAAAAAAAGGCAAGAAAAAAATGCTTTCGTCAAGAACACTGGTGACCTGTAACAGTGCCATGCAATTTTGAGGGAGTAAAAGCTGAGTTACAGAGTCTGTAAAAGGGAGATAGGTCAGCAGCCGGGACATGACAACAGTGGTTAGTGGAGGAATTTTGGTGGACCAAAGAAACATTTTCAAATGAAAGCTTTAAAAGTTTGCTTTAAGCTGGGCGTGGTGGTGCACACCTGTAATCCCAGCACTCAGGAGGCTGAGGCAGGAGGATCGCTGTGAGTTCAAGGCCAGCCTGAACTGTATAGCGAGACCCTGTCTCAAAAAGACAAAAAAAAAAAAAAAAGTTTGCCTTTATGCCTTAAAGCCATAGGTTTGTGCTTAGTAGTTGATGAAAAAATGCTCAAGGCTGAGGAGTCTGGAGGCTCTAGAGAGGGAGGCCCTATGTGTGGCAGGCAGCAGGGGAGGCTGGAGTGCACAGACTAGAGGCAGGAATGTCACGACAGCCTGAGGCCTGGGAAAGAATATTGACAGACATCTACTAAGACAAAGAGAGGCAAGGCTATGGCAGGCATGGAATTTGGGGGGGAAGGAGATATCCAGGTTGCCAAGGGGACACTGCACCTAGGAATATGGTGGAGACTTGAATTATCTAGCAGAAGCAAGAGGAAGCAGGAGGGCGGCCTAACACTGTAGGCTCTGTGTATATTTTCCGCTTGCAGCTATCTGGAACAGGCCCAAGAATGGAAGAAGTGGAGGAAACCATCAGGGTTTGCACTAGACAGGACAGAGCATAAGGCTGAAAAGGAAGGGTCTGGGAGGTTAACCTTTACCCTTATGACTCAAGGTCTCTTATATGCAATGTCTAAATGATTTAAAGTCATGCTTACACAATGAAAGCTCCAGAAAGCCTCCTAAATCCCGGGGTTTGTGGAGCTTCCTGGTGAACAATGAAGAGCTGGGAGGATGGCCTACCCAGGCAAGGAATGGAAGCAAGCCCCACGCGTCTCTCCACTGCCACCCCATACCTTGCCTGTAGTACCATTAGTAGGGTGCTAAAAGCATTTTCTCAAGTTCTGTGAGCCAGTCTAGCATGTTGTCAAACCTGAAGAGGGTAGTGGAAACTCCTGATTCACAGCTGCTCACCAGAGGCAGCTTGAAACTTGCAGCTGGCCTCTGAAGTGGGGAGTCTTGTGGGACTGAGCCTCAACCCGTGGGGTCTGTGTTACAGTGGACTTGAGCATTCAGTTGCTATGCTGGTGTGGGGAAAATCCCACACATTTGGTGTCAGAACTGTTGTGAATACAGCGCACAGATACACTTTGGGCCCTGGTGGACCCTGCCTCGCATCCCCGCGGCTCACTGTTCACTCAAGCTGCTGTGGTGAGCAGCAGTGGCCAGTGGCATCCAGCTACTTTTCATGGCTTGTGTGCAGGCCCGGCGTGGCAGTTACTGCTTAGGGGGGCAACCCTTGAATAAAATGCTCCCCACTTCAGTTCCCAGAGCAAACTGAACATTTAATCAAGGGCGGGGACTCAATTGTCTACAAGTGACTAAGTTCAGGATTGCATGTACCTCTGATTTCCTCCGGATCCCTCATTTTCTGTCCTCTGGAATCACTGCCTGAAACAAATCATCAGCCTTTCCTTATTTCAGGTTCTGCTCTCTGGGGAACCTCAGGTAAGGTACTGGAGAAGACGGGCTGAATTCCCCTGAACCAGCACTTGGTTGTGAAGATTAACAGAGGAAAAAAAAATTCTCCACTCCCACACAGGTGCTTTTATTTCATTTTCTTGAAACAAGGCAAAGCGGCAGGAATATTCTAATCTTTAGGGTACCCAAAGAGGAAACCAGGGCATTTTCACTGTGTTCAAGGTAACAGTGAATACATCCATTATTTAAATGAGACAAATACAACTGAATTGTGTGTGAAAATTTTGTGGGTTGCAGCTCGTTAATTTTGAGGTTATATATTTACTTTTTCTCAAAACCTGTGCAATGGGCCGGGATATAGCTCAGCGGCACAGCACCTACCTGGCAAGTGTGAAGTTGAGTTTGATTCCCGGTACCAAAAAAAATCCTAAAACCTGTGCATCTATGTAGCCAAGGATGACAAAAACCAAATACAAATGTTGCCACTTAGAGATGATAATTTATTGTTTTACCATGACCCAGAAGAGAAACAACATAAAGAGAATATTACAATCTCCAAGACTTCCTTCCGCAACTTCACTATTCTCTATCATTTCTCTGTCAGACATCACAGGCTTCCTAAAATGGACCACTGACTATAAATTTTATTGTGCTGCCATCTCTCTTACTATTGAAACCTTAGCTCTTAAGGTTTCACTTTTAGTGAAGGAGTTTCCCCAGCTTTAAAAATAAACACCTTTTGTCTAAGATTCCAAAATTCAGTGTAAGCTTTTCTAGAAATGTACATGAGGGTTTTCAACAAATTCAATTTAGAAATCATTTACTGACCATCTACGAAGCATCTGGACTCTTCAGAGGCTAGTAAAATGAAAACCCGAGTTTTTAACAGCAATAACTTAATTGTGTGGGTATACAAAGACAAGTTTCTTCTTTTGGTCTAATTTACCCTAAAAGAAGCTGGGAACTAACAAAAACAGGACAGGTTGTTTTAGCTAGAAAATGAACAAGACAATGCCTGAGTTAGCTCTCTCTATAGATTTAGGCTTATCATGTTGACCTGGTTGTAATAATCTATACTTAACTAAAAGTTTAATAAAAATACATTATGCTCATCTTAAAATAATTACTGATTTTGTCTGCATAACACAACCCTTATCCCTCCACTCATGTATTTTTTGGACATGATTTTTCTGCATAATCACAATCTGCTTCCTCCCACCCCACCCACCTCATATGTGATCAAGTAACTCCTGCTGCCAGCAGAAGCATCTCTAAGTCTAACATGCTTTGCTAGGGCAGACTAGAAATTTCAAGCAGCAGCTCTACGCTGTTACTTGGTTGAGGTGAGGAGGAAGGCAACGAGCACTAAGCCACCTCACCCTCAAATTTCTCTTCTCCCCACTCCAGGCTCATCGTGCTTCCTCAGGTGACAGGACGGTGTGTGGGGTGTTACAACACCTCCCGCTTCTCCTTCCCTTCGCACCTGAGAGGGGACAACAGGATGCTGACTCAGGGTAACTGCAGCTGCCCCGCCCCCTTCCTGGACCAATCGAATTTAAAACCCAAATCTGAAACTGGAACAAAACCCAAGTTTCAGTACCGCCTCTTTCACTCACTCAGATCTCATTCTGTGTATCTCCAAGCACCAAGCCTCACTGCTTAACGAGTGCTTGCTGAAGGGAGAAATTTTACTTTTAAAGACCAATGAACTTTCCGGTTAATGTTTAACTTGAAGTGAGTCATGATTCATTTACTAAACAGTGGTGTGAGAATCTCCAAGGTTTAAAAAAAAAAAAAAAAGTGTTAAAATGAGAGCAGACCATGGTTTAGAAATCACCTAATGCCCCTTTCTCCTTTCCACTGTTTAGGGTAATAGAGAAAGACAGGAGATTGGTGGTGTCCCCTAGTAAACAGAGTCACACAGTGTGAAACTAAGTGCTCACGTTAAGACGTTCTGTTTATGGGATGTCCAAAGTATTTCTCCAACTTTTGTTTGACCTGCAGAATTGGAGATGGCTTACCTCCTTATAACTTCAAGTTTGTTTTACAAAGCTTTGAAAAGTAAAAGATAATTTAATTTCAGATACAATAAAAAATTAATCTGGATAGCAAAATAAGTAACTGCTTTTAAATGTACAGTAGTATGCTTAGAACGAAACCTAAATCTACATTAGGAAAACTTTTCAAATAATAATGCTATTATATTCTCCAGTAGTAGCTGAAATAAAAATCTACCCTAACCCCTATGAAATGATCTATTTATACCACTTCATTTGCTTTTCTGAGTTTGTATTTCATTTACTCTGTAGACCTTCACTTGGTTTCCATAATGGAAACCTCAGCTCCTTCAAATATTTCTGAGATTGCTCAGAGAGGAATGCACAAAAACAGAGCAAGTATTACTGTTAATGATTACATTTCAATACTGCTATCCCAGTTCACACCATCGGTCTCCCAAGAGGATGGCAGGTGGAACCTGGTGAGTTGGTTTCAGATAAGTAGATCAGCATGTCTATCTGGAACAAAGGTGACCTAGGATTAAAGAAAAAAAATCTTCCACAGCTACGACTCTTCACAAACTCTTTCTCCTAATAAGCATATAAGAGGGAAAGAAAGCAGGAGCAGGGAAGGTATACAGGAGCACAGCCACAAGCCTGCAAGTTTTTCGAGCCTCATCAGACAACTCTCATAGTATCACAGACGTGTCCAGCCCTACACCCTGGGAAACAGCCCACCTTGGTGTTTTCCGAAGTTTTATAGCATGAAGATTAAAATTCAGTGCGGGAGCAGGACTACGGTTTACAGATCTGGTCAGGTTAAGCCGGTCCCACTAGCCATCCCAGGACACTTCCTACTCTCAATTCATGGAGACCCTCCTTCCCGGGCAAGCCCACAGAATCCACGCATTCCTTTGCTCACAATGACCTGGCAGCTCAGAGGTCAGCTTCTAGGGAATGAGAAGAAACTCTCAAGAAGCTCCTGTTTACGGGAGTTGTTCCATTTTAGTGCCCTATTAATGTGTGTGTCTCCACAATTTTATTGATCTCTCAATTCAAGAAGCACCAAACCAATGAAGGTTTGTTTTCTTCTGATTTTTTCCCCTCCTCAGTTCTGTGAAGTAACTTTTTATCTATCACTGTATCACTATGTTCACTATTCACTCCAAAATTTCACTTTTTGGAGTGATGTGCTCTGTCAAATACATTAAAATAAAATGCAAAATCTTGTTTCGGGGGGACTATACAGAATAACGGGTTTTAAAGGTACAAAACACACCAACATTATGGCCATATAAAATATAAAGAAGTACCCAACATTAACAGGTTTGTATGAAGTTGTACATTTTGCTATTTCTTTAGTATTTCCTCACATTGTTTTCTTCTTTGGAGCGAAGACTGAGCTCCCTCTGCAGTGTTTTTGAAATTAACCAATGACTGGAACATACTGAGGGAATTCGTATCTGTCCAAAGCAACGAGTGCTATGCATGAAAGTTTTCTTCACATATAATAATATTAATAAGCTTTATTTACAGTGTAAGCTTTCTGATGCTAAGGGCTGAGATGTGATTAAAGGCTTTGCCATATTTATCACATTCAAGAGGCTCCTTTCTGGAGTAAATTCTCGGATGTCTATAAGATGTGAATAGTCCCACATGTCAAACACATCCATCTCTATACACATTTAGCAGTTTCACTTTTATGCCTTTAGTATTAAGTGCCGTACACACCAACATGTCTCATACATCTATATTCTCAGGTTTAGCCCTGCCTGCCAGGCTGGATTAGAAACAAATACCTTATAGCCTGAAGAATTTTACTTCTCTTCCTGGCAAGGTTAAGGTATTATTTTTAAAGACTCTTCAGAAAGTTCCATTAGGTCAACTCGCATGCTAATGGTTAACTACAGAGTACTTAAACTGTCCCGCCAGTCACAACTTTTGAATGACTATCCTGAGCACTAATTAGGTGTTGCCGGTGTTTCTGACCATGGTCCAATGACACTTCACACCGAGCATCTGATACATCTATGGTTTTAATAACCAGTTGTAGCCTGTTTTCCTCAGAAAACACATCTTCAAATAGCTGCCTCCAGCAGTGCATCTGCTGAAGATCTGAAGCAACCCCAGCAGCTAGCCAGCAAAGTCAGTTAGGTACCCCAATAAAATGGGAACCTAATGCCAGGGCACAAGTCATATATAAATTTCATTTAAAAACAAACCCTAAGATGTCAGCATGTAGTTGCGGCTTTAAAAAAAAGGAAAAAGAAAAAAAACCAATGTGGAACTGACTGAAGTCCTTTCCTTAAGAACAAAGTCAGTGTTTGCATGAGTGCTTGGAGTTATATACTTCACCATGTCTTTTTTAGTGGGCAAAGAGCTTCTCAAAAGCAGCGGCAATTTTGTAAGCAACCGTCACCATGCCTCATTCTTTCAGGAAAATTCTTAAAGCATTTCTACCTCCATATCACCACAGAAAGTGAATGAGGTATACTCTTCTGGAGTATCTCTTCTGTTTTTCTTAAATTGAATGGATAGAAGTACTCTGGTAGCTGACTAACCTGCTATGTGGCTTTCCCAGGAAGAAACTGAAGAAAATGCTATAGGGGAAGTTGTGGTTGGTCCAAGCAATGAAGCCAAAAAATGACTGGTGTTTAGAATTTTAGTTTGGTCTGCAGCTGCGGCCTTATGCATCCCTTCCTCATTTGTTCAGCCATATCATCTCCTGAACTTTAACTGTTGGTCAGAACGACTGATGAACGACGGTTTTAGTTGTTTCTTTAGAGAAAAGTCTCAAACTGTATGTGGGGTTTTCCCATTACATGGTGATTACACTGTCAGTGTTCAGGTTTGCTTTACACTTTAGGTTTTTGCAGGGCTGACCATTGCCATTTGAATGCTCTCATGAACACAGCCATCTCCACCCCAAGCTCTTGATACCTAGAGAACCTGCAACACTCAGTTGTCTCCCGTACGTGTGACACAGTCTTCATCAACTTCTGTGAAGCCATCTGTATCCTCCTGCACAGATGATGGGAGAGACTGGAGTTCCATAACCTCACCTTGGTCTTGAGCAACGAGAAACAGAAGTACACTGTGCACTGTTACTGTGATACAATCAACCACATTAGTACGCTGGTGAACTTAGAGCAACCACACACCTGCAGTAATTGCCAGCTAATGATGACAAGTGCTTTTGCATCTCTGGAAAGTATGTTCCATTTTCCTTTTTCTGAAAAGCAATAAAAAAATCACCTCTTCTGAACTATATCACCGGTACTTCAGTTACAAATGATTCAGGAAGTGTCCCCATCATCATACTGTCCAGCAGCTGACTGGAGTGAGTTCTGGTTAGTACCACTGCCATGGAGAAATGTCAAAAAACAACTTTAAGTCAGTGTTCATACCTTCATTAAGATGCTAAGAATAGTCACTTGACATTTTGTTGTTTACTCCTGAACCATGTTTAGAAAAATCTACACAAGTTCTTTTTGTTTATATTTAAGACACAAATACCATCAAACCCCAGAGGTTTTAGTATACCTCCTCTTACTGGCTCTGAAGGTCCTCTTTGAGAGATGGGCCAGGCTACTGTACTTCAGGAACTTGTGATTCACAAGGCTTTCTCATAAATATTAAAGTTCCATTAGAAGTCAGTCATAAGGAGTGCCTCTTACGTGCTCAGCACTATGTGCAGTGCTGTGCTATAGAACATAAAACTACATCTCTTGACAACAGAAACATCTTTTTTTTGGGGGGGGTGATAAAATCTCATAGACAAAACAATGGAAGATTAAAAGACAGTATATCATCAAGTGCTAACTTGTGAAGAAATGCCTTTAGGAGTGCTAGAGTGCTTCAGGAACTTCAAGAAGGGGGAGAAGTGTTTGACTCATTGCTATTTCAGTAGAACTGATCTCAGTGATGAGGATAGAGCCATCTACATTTGTTGAAGTCCTTTGGAACTGTAGACTGGTGCACATACCCTCTCTTTCAGGAAGAGATAGAAATCTTTGGTTTGAGATTGGTCAGTACAGTCCTAGATTTCTATTGCTTTGGTAGGCTACCAGTGATCAGATACACATCACTTATGGGGTATATAACTAGCTGGAGCAGCACGTCCCTCTTTTTAAAGAAACAAACAAGATGTTGGCCAAGCAGGACTTGTTTGCAGCAAGTGGCTTCTTAATCTCAAAGGTCATGTTCACAGAGCAATCTGCATCTTTCAAGTATGTGCTATGGTTACTGTGAGTCCAACAGTGCCTTAAAGGTATCCTCATTATGGAAAAGTCTGATATTTTACTATGTGTGTGCTTTCACCGTGTGTGGAATATCATGTGGATTATTTGTATGACCAGTTTTTCCCTGCGGGGGCTGTGTGGAAGAATTACATGCCCAAAGGTAGAACACTGCCAATGTAATTCTAAGGATGCTTGAGTGTGATTTTTAAAAATCTACTGAAGCCTTTTCTTTTCCCCTCAGTGGGCACATATCTCTGAAATAATTTTAGGAATGAAAGGGGGTAATGGTTTGACGACAAATTCCTGTTTTACACACAACCTTTTAGGAATGCTCCAAATGCATCCAGGGAGGCTGGGCTGTACTCTGAGGCTCGCTCTCTGGCATGGATTCTGTGATGCAGTGTAAGGGTTGAGCTCCGGGTGAAGGCCTTGCCACACTTAGTGCATTTGTAAGGTTTTTCTCGAGTGTGAATTCTCCGATGCAAAATAAGGTATGAGTTTCGGTTGAAAGCTTTTCCACATTCGCTACATTCATAGGGTTTCTCCCCTGTGTGTATTCTCTGATGCTTAGTGAGGTCTGAGCTCTGGCTGAAGGCCTTCCCGCATTCATTACATTCATAGGGCTTCTCTCCAGAGTGGATGCGCTGGTGCAGAATGAGATTTGAGCTGTGACTGAAGGCTTTCCCACATTCATTACATTCATGAGGTTTCTCCCCTGTGTGGATTCGCTGATGCAGGACAAGGTTCGAGTTGAGACTGAAGGCTTTCCCACACTCACTACATTCATAGGGCTTTTCTCCAGTGTGGATTATCTTATGGCGGATAAGGCTTGAGCTTCTTGTGAAGCATTTACCACATTCATCACATCTATGAGACTTTGCTCCTGTTGGAACCTCTTCAGGGGTATTATTAAAGTTTGAACTCAGACTGAAGCTTCTTCCCAACCCTTTGCCCTTCTCCCTTGGAGCTCTCTCTCCTGTGGTGGTTTTTTTCTCCTTGGCTGCAGCTGGCCCTGACTCTTTCTTGTCTTTTCCAGTTTTCTCTTCAGGGTTTCTCTGTTGCTTTTCTACTACTCTGCCTGGCTGTTCACGTTTCTCTCCCAAATCCTTCTGGAATCTTCCTGCTGTCTCCCCCCGGGATGCCGAGTCCTCTTTGTCTTCCGCCTTTGAGGTCGACTCCTTGTTCTCACTCCTGTTTTCACAACCTGACATAATAGAAAATACAAATAGCATCTTTTCCTTTTGCAAATCTGGGTTAATCAAGTGACATTATTTTCCAGGACATTCTGTATGCTTGCAAAATAACTTCATAGTATTAACTGAAGATAAAAGAGGAGTACAACAAAGGAAAAACTGAGAAAACAGGGAACAGACTTGGAAAATGAGAGGGCAGGCAGAGAGTAGAAAAGAGAAAGTAACAACAAAGGGTGTATGGAGAGAGAATATGAATAATCAGGCATGGTGGGAAGTCAGAGGAGGGAAGAGACCAGTCAAGGAAGGGATTTAATTAAAGGATGTCAGAAGTCATAATTCCATTATTTGATCACCAATAAGTAATTTAAAGGCTTACATATGTTCTTTTTTCAGCAAGTATTTGTAAGCTTTTAAAAGAGAACAGGAGAACAGACAGGTCCTTGCTAGAAAATAGTGGTATTAGAAAAACAGGAATACAGTTTCAGAAAGAAAAACAAATACACCTCCAGTTCTGTTAGTGTTTTATCAACAAGGTGATGGTTAATAGGCAAAACAAGCAGCTCTGAACCGGGCAGGTTACAGGGACCTTCAGACACAGGAAACAATTTCCCTCTGGCACGGAGAGCAGCATGGAGCTGACTGTTCAAGTACCAGATGGGGTGAAGGTGCTGGTGAGGGCAATTCACTAGCCACAAAACGAAGCCCTCCAAACAAAAGGAGAATCTTCAGAACACAACAAAAAAGAAACTCAAAACCACTCTAAATCCCTTCATGTAGCAATATATTAAAACACTGGAGTTTAGGTTTTATTACACATTGCTATACTCTGTGTGTCACTTTACTTTTAAGCTGTGTCACTTTTACCTGTATTTGTCTGTGAAAAAGAACTGAGGTATCTCTACTCTGTTCTTTATTTTCTTGGGCCTGAAAACACCTTTCCAAGTGGGCTTGCATGATTCCAACAGGTTCTTGAATGTAATGATCTGAAAGGCTGAAAAATATCCAACCGCCAACTAGCGATAAAATTATAAATACTGACCAGTTGTGAGGAAGAGAAAATTGGTCCATTTGTTTTGTATTTTAAGCCAACGCTCTTGACTGTTTGTGCAGTTCCCAGTTCCTATTTTTTTTCTATTATCAGCTCATAAAGATTAGCTCTTTGACTTTATTTCATTCTATTAGTACAAAGAGCAAGTAGCTACAAACCACACGTCATATTTATACCTACGGTTTATTTATTTATTTGTTTGTTTTTGAGAAAGTGTCTCACTATGTAGTTCAGGTTGGCTTTGAATTTGTGCAATCCTCCTGCTGCCTCAGTCTCCCAAGCACTGGGATTACAGGCATGCGCCACCACGCCTGGCTTACACCTATGGTTCTAAACGAACTTGAATTTCTTAAGTAATACCCTTTTGCAGACTCACTCTGTGCACACTTCCACTGCTTTCCCCAGGTGCAATCTCCCTGTGCACTCTCTGTCACTGTACATATCTGTGGACTTCTTGGCAGCACTGTCTCCTCGAGGGTAAGCTCTAACGGACCAATGCAAATGGCTGCCAGCTGGGGCACCTTGTATTACCTGGCTGATCCCTCTTGCACTTCTTTGTTCTTACTACACACTCAAGACCCAGAGCTCTTTCTGAAGATCACTGTTACTTTTGTGAACTGGGAACCTGACCCATAGGGAGGTCCAGGTGCACATTCATGGGGTCACACAAAGCAGTCTCTGAGCAGTGCTGACAGGATGGAAGAAGTCAGACACCCGTGGAGGGACGCTTGGTAGGCTCAAGAATGTGGTGCCAGGACAGAAGGCTGGGATTAGACTGATAGTCAGTTTGCCTGGACATCTCCACTAGGAAAAAGATGATCTCCTGACGGAGGCACCCACAGTGGAACATACTATGGGGAAATGAAGCTGAATCCTCCCAGGTAACTAAGCAGTTGAAGAGGTGACCACAACAATTTATTTTCAAAGAGTCAAAAGTACCTCTACCAAAAGTAAACAAAACCAAACCAAACACAACACAACAACAACAAATCCCCATCAAGAATTAAGGAGTCACAGTTCAATGAACACAAAAATGTTCTGCCACTCTGTTCTGAAGAAAGGGGTTCAGTAGCCTTTAAATCCTTATCAACTGAATATATCAGAGGTCCAACTGCTAACAGAGGCATAATCATCAGACAAGAATCCTGTGTCCATCTTACCCTGGGAAAATACGTTCCCATAATTCTCCTGCCTGCTGTCCCTACTGAGATTCCTCCGAGCCAGGTTCTGACAGCCCCATTCCTCCAGGATGAGGGACACGGCCATGTCCTCGATCTTCACCATTGCCTGAAATAACAGGAGAGTCCCCACACTCAGTTCCCCCAAAACTCAGGGACTGCCCCATTGCCCAAACCTGGAGTCAGGGACAGTGTTGCCTGCAGTCACAGGATGCTGGGGAAGACGTGACCAAGCCTGAAAGACTGAGGGGGTCTGTGGTAGGAAGATCTATGGGAGAGGGAATGGGCCTCTATGGGTGGGGCATCGAGAGTGAGTGGCCTGGTGGAGGCTTCGACAAGGAGCTCCAGGAAGAGGTAGACATGGGGACTCAGGAGGGCACAGGGTGCACAGCTCACCTGGGAATCTGCGGTCAGTAGGGCAGATGCCATCGCCTGGTCTCTGGGACTCCCCTCATGAGCAGGGGCAGGAACGTGGGTGGCAGGGACAGCTGACGGAGGAGAAAGGAGCTGTGAGTAAATCAGCTCTGCCCTGAGCTTCACTCAAAGAAGGGTTTGGGGCACTCGCCTTCCTGCATCAGCTCATTTACTGTTCCATGTTTAACTCCAGAGGACCCAGAGAAGAGACAGCAGGACCTATACTCTTCTCACGATCTCTACTTTTAAGCAAAAGCCACAGGAGCCATAAAATGGTCCTTAAAATCATGAGGTCCAACCCCTTTGCTTTACAAAAGGGGACCTTGTGGCTCTGAGAAGCTAAATGAGTTGTCTGATGTCACCCAGGAATGGCAGAGGCAGATCTAGAACCCAGGTTCCTATTTTCAGCAAGAAAATGGGCAACATTAGCCTATACTTCTGGCTCTTATGTTTCTCCAGCTCAGATACAGTACTAGGACATTAGAACCCATTTGTGCTGACACTTGTGAAAATGTAGCACAGCTTTAAATGTTTTACATTAAACCCAGAAAGGCAGGATAGGAAGGAGATCTTCTGACCTCTAAGCAAGTATCTTCCATTGGGGGCGAGGGGTTACTGACGATTGCACCCAGGGCCTTCTCACTGAGCTACAACTCTGGTCCTTTTTTTTTTTTTTTTCGGTCTTTTTTGTTCCTCTACTTTCCTCCCTCACTTGGCCACAATAAACAATTTTTTGATCAAATGTATATATGATTGAAACATTGGTGAAACATTTACAAATGTATGGAGGTAGGGGTTGACATATAAGACATCCATAACACAACATATGATCACATCAAATATATATACATGTATATATATATATATATTTTTTTGGTATCAGGAATCAAACTCAGGACCTTCCACTTGCCAGGCAGGTGCTTGTGCCACTGAGCTACATCCCCGGCCCCACATCAACTGTAGTATGTAAGATGAACTGGAGAAATTTTAAACTGCAAAATTAAAATTCACACCTGTCCTCTCTTCCCTTGCCAAAGACTCTTACAGTTGGAAGTGTTACAATAAACAGATGATCGTACAGAAGTACAAATGTAGTAGAGAAATGAATTTGAAACTGAATTACATGGGGCTGGGCGTTTAGCTCAGTGGTGCAGCGCTTGCCTGACAAGCATGAGGTCCTGAGTTCGATTCCCATACCCCTCCCCAAAAAACAAAACAAAAAACTCAATTACAAAACTTGTAGCTATTTCCACCTGTACAAGAAGATGGGCTGAGCTCTCATGCCTCTTCACCACAGCCACTATACTTTAGAGCCATGATGAACCTTTCAGAGACAAGTGCCCAAACTGTGACCCAAAACCCACTTACTGCAAAGTGCCAACACTACAATTAAACCTGAAGACTGAGGTTTTAGTTTAGAAAAAAACAACTCATACATTAACATCTTTTGTCTTAAAGAAAAACAACACATGTGCCACAGGTTTGCCACCACTGTTTTAGGGTGTCATTTTTTTTCCCCTCCCTTTTTACTTGGCCCAAGCTCACTGTGCACAGCCCACTGGTTTTTGGCCCCTACCTTTCAGTTTTCCCTACCTTTAATAAATGTGAAACTGCCACTCTTTTAAAAAAAAAAAGGCCTAAAACAAAACGCACAAAAAGATCAAGTACCTAGCACTTACATCTGAGAGTTAGGAAACACTGCAAGATGAACAGGACAAAGAATAAATTGAAAACAAATGTATATTCCTCAATTCATTCAAGAATGATTTACTAAGTAACAACTCTTACAACCTAAAACACTAATCTGGTGCACAGACCATGAACATTCTATTTCTTAATGCCATCCTCTGTGACTTCTGCTTGTGCAGTGTGGAAAAACCTCCCAAGCCCTCAAAGGACATCAATAGTGTTGGGGTTAAACATCACAGTGCATGGGTTTGCATGGATGTCTCCAGCATTTATTGTCAGGCTGATATCTAGGATGCATGGCAGAAAGAATGCTCCCTTAAGTGCTATGATCTAATATTCCTAGCAAATGTTATTGTAAATAAACATGCTGGAGAAAGAAGCTGTCTTGATCAACTATATTTTCTTTTTTGGTACCGGAAATCAAACTCAGGACCTCCTGCTTGCCAGGCAGGTGCTGTGCTGCTGAGCTGTAGCTCTAGCCCCCCCACTTTTTTTTAGAAACAGGGTCTTGCTATGTAGTCCAGGCTGGACTTGAGCTTGTGGCAGGTCTCCTGCCTCAGCCGCCCAAGTGCTGGGATTACAGGCCTGCATCACTATACCCGGCTAAACAACTGTATTTTCAATATTTCATGATTTTTACTGACATTCTTCACACCTACTTTCACAAAAATATGTCCTTTCCCAAAGAGGGAAAAACCCAATGAAACAGATTTTTATTTATATGCCTGTGAATTGATATTTTTTCATTTCTTCAACAAAAAAGCCCCCCAAAACCACTTTTGCATTGCTTTCTTCTAAAGTTTTTGACAGTAACGTAGAAAGCAGCAATGTTAAATAGTATTTTTATACATTTTAAATAAAATGAATCTTTAAAAAATTTATAGTCCTCTGAAAGATCATACTACAGTATTTAAAAACCCAGGCTGGAAATAATATATCATCTGCTCCCTATACCTTCCTGTTAGAAATCTACTAAATATCTGAAGTGCTAACACTTCAATAAATAATGTCTACCAAGTTTAGTAGTCATGGTTCACTTACCTTCTTGGTATTATCATTTAACTCCTGAGATTGGGCTGAGTTATATTCGCCTAGTGTTAGTAACAATGATCACTATACATAATAACAAAAACAGGCATGCTTTTTAAATCTCAGGCGCTGAGAAACATGGAGAGGGCATTACCATCCTGAATAATTCACTTCTTTTCCCCATGTGAAACCTGCTTCTTACCTCGGGATTGCAAGAGGCGGGGTTTCTGAGATGAATGCTTGAAATGTGACTGGGTGGCCTCGTGATGGAGATCAAAGCTTGAGGACTCCTGAGCTGGATCCAGAGGCACCATCCCTCTGGCGAGCATCTCAGGCCCATGAACCTGACCTGGGACCTGAGGACAATCAGGCTGGACTTGTAAATGAATCATTTTTAAAACAGGAATTAAAATATTACACGATTTGACAGTGGATGCAGGAGGTCAGAACACTTTGGGTGGGTGAGTGGGGGTCTTGAGCCTGAGTCCTTGTAAATGCTAGTAAGTCCACACTCTACACTGAGCTACACCCCCAGCCCCCAGATCACTTTATGAACCCAACCCCTCAGAAGAACAGGTAGAATAACCATAAGGATTTGTAATACTAGCTCTAAATCAGTGACTTTCCTTTTTTAGTACCAGGAATTGAACTCAACCTCATGCTTGCCAGGCCGGCACTATGCCACTGAGCTATATCCCCAGCCCCACTGACTTTCTCCTATCCACAAAGTTCATGCCTTCTCACATGTAAGCTTCGCTTTTTACCTGCTGTCCTGACAGATCAAGCTCCAAGTCTTCCAGGAGTGTCACAGCCTCCTCTCCGCTATCAGGCCGGTACTCCTGTAGCCAGACTTGGAGCTCTTTGGGCAGAATGGAAAGGAACTGCTCCAGCACCAGCAGCTCCAGGATCTGCTCCTTGGTGTTTATTTCTGGTCGTAGCCACTGATGACAAAGTTCCTTTAGTCGACTCAGTGCCTCTCGAGGCCCAAAAGTGTTCTGGTAACAGAAGCGCCTAAAACGCTGGCGGAAAATCTCTGGGTCGGGAGGTGGCGTCTCCTGCAGGGTGGAATCCTGCCCCCACATATGGTCTTCCTCATCCTCCTCTTCTACCTTCACTATTACAATGCCGTCCTTCTCCTGTGCAGCATGGGGGGACAGACCTGTGGCTTCCCTTGACTCAGCAGTCATTGTTCAGGCTCACTGAATTGGCGTGATCCAAATGGGGTCTCTGCTAGCCTTTCTGGCTAGAGGTTTTAGACCTGTTCCTGTACTATTCCTGAAAAGCAGTAAAAAAAATTATTAGTACGTTTACAAAAAGTGACCGTGGTGCTACTGCTACACAACAAAGCACGAAGAATACCTCAGAATAAAAACATTCAGAGCTCTAGTGTCTCCCTGTCACTTCATGCATTAAGGTCTGCAAACAGAAACCTCAAACAGGTAACCTTCATCCTCAGAGTGTTAGCCTGCAGCCAGAGAAACTTGCCTCCAGCTGCACAGCAGGTTATAAGATGGCATACAGTGTTTACAATACTTAGCCCAGTGAGAGCTTCAATATTTGCAGGGCACCAAGCACCAGGCTGAGTGCAGTATGTGCACATTCTTTTTTGCCCACAACAACCCTAGTGGGTAGGAAGAACTATTAGTGCCACTTCAGAGATGATGCAATGGGGCCATGGATAGCTGAAGCAGTTCGTGTGGTAGCAGATGACTACCCAGAAGTCAACAATGAAGCCAAATTTGAAGCTCCAAGACTTGATAATGTATCACTTACCTACTTTTCTTATTTTTATGGGTATACTAGGCAGTCTAAAGAGGTGGTTTCCAAGGTATAAGATAATCCTCCAGGGATAATGAATGAATATATCTGAATGTGTTTTAGAAGTGAAGAAATGAAGGGGCTGGGGATTTGGCTCAGTGGCACACGCCTGCCTGGCAAGCACAAGGTCGTGAGTTCAATTCCCGGCACCAGAAAAAAAACCAAAAAACCCGAAAAAACAAAACAAAAAGAAGTGAAGAAATGAAATCTCATTTAACTGTAAATCGAGACTAACACCCTCACCGGGGCTACATCTTGAACTGTCACATGTCACATCGGGTATTCTCAGAGGAACGAGTGCAAGCACTCCCCCGCCACATTCACTTCCAGATTCTGACATACACCCTGGCTTAGCTATGCCCAGTTATGTGACATGGTGGAGGATTCTAACTAGCTTTATCTAATCTCACCTTCATAAACGAGGCCAGCAGCTAAAAAAGATTCTTGCAGAGACAATGACAGGAAATATGGACGATGCAAACACAAGTGGACAACAATGAAAAGGCAGAGCTGAAGCTTCTCTTGAACACGAGGTCTTAGCCAGATTAAGAGGTAAAAATCAATGTCCCTCTAAAAGTCGCCAATGAGTGAAAAAGTACCTAGCTTAAAAAGAAGAGGAAACAGCAATTACAAATGATACAAGAAGTATTTCCATCATTCTGTAATTCTGCCAAAAATGATACTATGTCCCTTAGAAAAACCCTTATATGTACATTTTTTAAAAATCTGCAACTATTTCCTAACAATTAAAATTTTTCCAAATGAAGCATTTTAGAATTTAAACCTGTTTAAAAAACATAGTAAAAAGCAACTTCTCATTAGTTTGTAAGAACTGGTGATTCAAGTTCAGGCAAAATAAAAATGTACTCTGAGTTTCAGCCACAAACATTGAGCATGAAAACTGGTTCCTGAGTTACTGAATCAAACTGCCAACACGATTATTCCGTTTGAACTTTTAAATCTTTGTGAAGCATCCTTTTTAACCTTTATAGCTATTAAAACTAAGCATCAAGTTGATGTTTTAGAAACAAACCACCCAATTCCTATATCATAGTGAATTAGTTTTAAACTAGCAAAGTATTTTTTATTTGTTTGCAGTGCTGGGGATCAAACCCAGGGCCTTGTACCTGCCAGGCAAGCACTCTGCCATTGAATGACATCCCCATCCTCTAGCAAAGTATTTTTAATTACACGGCTTTCCCTAAAAAAAAAAAAAAAAAAAGTAATTTTGATGGAAAAGGGATCATGTTCATTAACACAAAAATAGAGTAATTTAATAGTAAAATTTAATACTGTACTTTTATTACATAAAATACTGGTAGAATAGTACGTCTGTAACTTTTTTTTAAAGTTGTTTTTAACTAATAGGAATGTACAGTAGGATTCTTTCATCTGCTGTTTTACTTTCTGTGGCTTTGGATACCTGCAGTCAACTGTGGTCTGAAAGTACTAAATGGAAAATTCCAGAAATAATTAATTAAGCGTTTTGTTTGTTTTATTTGAGATAGGATCTTGCTATGTACTCCAGGCTGGCCTTGAATTCAGTATGTAGCACAGCCTGGCTTCAAACACAATCCTTCTGTCTCAGCTGAGTGCTGGGATCACAGGCATGTACCACCTCACCCAGCTCCACGTTGTTTTATATAACTTTTATTACAGTATATAACTGTTCTATTTTAAGTTATCGTTATCTGTTACTGTGCCTAATTTATAAAATGAATTTTATCATAGATTATGTATATGTAACAAAGAAAAAAAATACACGGGATAGTTCTATCTGTGGTTTCAGGCATCTTTGGAATGTCCTGCAACAGATCCCCTGAGAATGATGGGGGGGCACTACTACTACTGTATGTATAGTTTTAAACAGAAAGGTTATCATTATTTTAATCTGAAATTTATTACAGGATTACTGTTTCTACCTCATTTTTGTATCCTTAATGAAAAATGGAAATTCTTATTAAAAATAATGGCCTATAATAAAAATAATGCACATTACAGTAAAAAAGGGCTTTCCTGATAAAGGAAACCTTGGAATTAAGTCATTCCTCCACTGATTTCAAAGTGGTAAATGCTCTACTGCAAACCACCCCTATGTAGGCAAATGGATGCACCTTGAGACCATAACGTTAAGTGAAATAAATCAGATACACAAACTTAAATATTGGTTTCTCTTATATGAAAAACTGAAACTATAAATAAATTAAAGCACAAAATAAAAGATAGTAGAAAACAGATCTTCTGCAAATGGGAAGGGGACCAAGATGTGGGAAGGGGACTGAGACATAGGAAGGGAGGTAGAAAGAATTAAGAGACTTAAGAGGTATTATGTACATGTACCAACTCCCCACAATGAATGTGATCTTTATGTATGCAAACATGTATTAATAAAAATTTTAAAAATCTGGCTCTTCCCGTACATTCTTTCAGACTTGTTCTGTATCCCACCTTCCTTGCTGGGGTAAGTATGTTTGGGTTTCAACTTCAGATCAGTTTTACCTCTGAAGTCCTAACAACTACAATTACTCCATTTCCTAAACATTTTCTGTGTATCTGCAAACTGCAAGATGTTCTGTAAGGCTGATGGGAATAGAATGGTGCTAAACATGAGCTACACTTTTATGCAAATAATTATAGCACAAAGCAGAGTATTCTAAGAAAGTCTCAAAAGAAGTGCTACAGGAACCCTGAGAAGTCAGTAACGGGTGAACAAGGAGCTGGGACATCCAGGACAGACAGGCCCTCCTAGGACCAGGTAGGGACTAGAGTGGCCCAAGATCATACCTTTTGTTACCTTTTCCCTTAGAAGTCTTGGTTTCTTCCTCAATTTGTTTGGAAAATCAGAATCAATCTGTCTGTCGGTCCATCCTTCTGTCCACCCATCCATCCATCCTCTACCTGGCACAATTACTTTCTACTACCCTAATTTAGGTTCCCCACCAGGATTAGAGCCACAGCCCTATATAGCTTCTCTAGCTCCAGTTTTTCCCTCCCACTAAACGAAACATACCAAGGTCAGTGTAGCATTGCCTATTTGCTTGTGGTCATTCCCTCCTTCCCCTCAACTACTGTAAACAAATGCCTGATATCTACCAATTCAATGTTCAAGACGTTTTGCCTTCACAACATACTTACTCTTCTTCAATCTCAACCTCTCCTGTATTTCAGTCTACTTAGTCCATCAATGTTCCCAAACTTGGGGCATGACCTTTCACCTCCACTCACCTTTGCAAGAGACATCTCCTCCTGTATCAACTCTACTGGTTAAATTTTTAGTTACTCTTCAAGATTGACTCTTTCCTGAAATCCCAAATTAAATAAGGTATTTTCTTCCTTTGAACATGCCTTAGTAGTATTTTATGGCACTTACCACATTCTCAATATTTGGGTTACAGTTCCTGTCTTCCAACCTCCCAGGGACAGGTACTCATGTTTCTTTGTACTTATCTCCCAGAGAACCTGGCTATTTAGCCATTAACATGCACAGATGCAATGAACTACCCGTACTACTCCAGGTCCCCCTTCATCCTCTCAGTGCCTATAGTGTGGTGGTAAGTAAATACTACAGATATTCCACTAATTTGTTAATTTCTCAGGCTGAACACCTTACCTGTTTTTTTTTTTTTTGTTTTTTTCCGGTACCAGGAATTGAACTCATGACCTTGCACTGCCAGGCAGGCGCTGTGCCGCTGAGCTAAATCCCCAGCCCTACATCTTACCTTCTTGGATTCCTTCCACTTTATGTGTATTCAGTCTTCAAGTACCAGGGAGAAATAATTCTTTGTTCCTATCTGTTATTTGGTCTAATCTCATCAGGTCCAGGTTCCTCTTTGTTTCCTGGCCTGCATTTGCTCCCCACCTTCCTACAATTCATGTTACCTTACTTTCCCTAAAACTCTACAGCCTTAAAGAGAGTATGCTCCAGTACTTGTTTCCAGTTTCCCCAAACCTGCATTTCCCATTCATCTTCTCACTCCTAGAACCCTATCAAGCAAAAGTATGAGTCTAATCAGTATCTCCTGAAGATGCTTTGTATTTCTGATACCCATCCTTTTTTCAAATCATACTCAATGCCTGAGATTTCCTCCCCAGTGTTGTGTCTTTTCAAATCCTACTTATCCTTCAATGCTAAGCTAAATACATTTGCCTTACCTTGATGTTCAAGATCACTTTAGTGGGTATAACAGAGCCAACATCTGTTCAGCAATTTCTAGGCACTAGGCTTATATTAAGGACTTCACTTGACCATATAACAATCTTAGGTGGTAGCTACAATTACCATCTCACTTTCTAATGATAAAGTGGAGGTTTACTAACATTGAATGACTCACCTGAGGCCACAGAGCAAGCAAATGGTAGTCAGGATTTGTAATTAATTCAGTGACTCCTTAGAGCAAGCTCTTATACCATTACATATATGAGGTAAAGAAAGGCTTCTGGATATAGATTCTTCTTAAAATGAAAAGTGACTAAGAATGACCACTCAGGAATGGACCTCATCTAGCATCCACTGTGTTCACCCATGGCACTGTGAGTAAAGCCCTTCCTGGGAAAGGGAGTCACAACAGGAGATCCAAGTGGAGACTGTCTACAACCTAACCAGCTGGAGCCTTCAAACAGCACAACTGAGCAGAACTAGTGTGGTGGTCAGCCCAGTCATCAGAAATCTTTTGTGCTAGTTTTGTATTCTGCCAGGTACGGGACAGGACACCCCTGAGAGTGGGAATCAACACAAAGAAGATTCTGAGGAACAAATGAAAATCAAAGAACAGAGACAAAGGCATATACACATTCCCTAATTGGGACAGGTCCTCCTACCTCTCCTCAACATTTTCCTGCTCTTACTCTGGGCCAGAGTCAACAACAGTAGAAAGGCTAGGTTTTAATCTTAGGGTCCCCAGATGATCTGAGTATACAATCTTCTCCCTTGACTCAAAGGGCCTAAATTCTGTACCAAACATTTGCCATATAATTACTTAAACTGCTTCTTTCTCTGTAATTTGATTTTTCATGTGGTCTCCCTCCATTAGACTATTGTTAAGGTTTAGTATACTTAGGTCACTTACCAATATTCCTTACAAGCATTAGTTGTTTTTTTTTTTTTAAGTACTTGTCTATACTTACGTTACTATTTTTTCCTATTTATTTTGCATTCCATCTTGCCCTCAAATTTGTTCTAAAAGATACTTGGAATAGTTTCCTTTAGCATTAAAGCTGTTGGACCACTTACTAGTTGGTGACCTTAGGCAAGTTAACTTCTCTATGCCATCAGTTTCATTTATATAATGGGAATGCAGAAACAGTATTTGCCCCACAGAGTTGTTACAAGGCTTAAGTAAGTTAACACATATAAAGCACTTAAAACTGTGTCTGCCACTTAGTAGGCACTGGAGAAAAGTTTCAGTTTTTCAAATAAACAAGAGCTCTCAATGTATGTTCTTTCAGTTCACTTCAAAGATTAACAGTGGGAGAAATCCTGTAACAATGAAAGCAGCATAGGTAAGAAGAGTGAATTGTAGTCTCCCACAAATAAATTACACATTTCTGGATGAATTATTCAACTTGTCTGCCATTCAGGATGTTTTATCAAATAAAGTAACCGCAATGAGGGAAAACCAAAAATAACTACTTTTGCAGTCTCTCTAAGATGAAAAACAATTTAACATACCATCCACTTTACCCCAGCGAAGTTATCACTAAGGATGAAAATAAATGTTTTGAGATTACAAGCTCAGTTTATTTCAAAGCGTATTTTCTTGATGGCCCAGTATTTTTCTTCAGGGACCACTCTTGATAGTTTAAATAAATTGTAGCTCCATCCTTATATTTTAAAAAAATATGAAAAAGCTGTACCTAAAACACAGCTACCAAAAGACTACTGATACCATAGAATGAAAAGGCGTGATTTCCCATTATTATTCTATTTGTATTTAGATACAATATAACAACACTGGAAAAAATATAAATGCTTCAGTCAAGTAAAGAATCACCAAAAGATGATGGTATTAAGTAGCTGGCTGCCCTGTTCATATTTTAAGATTGGTAAAAATTGCCTGAAATAGAGTTTTGCCTAGTAATTCAGACAGGACACAAATCTAGAGAAACATTCTGGGACAAATCTTATGGTTCCTTATCTAATAAAATTATTTCTCCACGTTTAGTCAGCGTATCTAGTAACAGTGCTTTGTTGATGTGGTTACAATAAATTTTCCACAACTCAACAAGTATTTATTGACCGCCTCCAATCTGCCTCGCACTGGCCCGTACAATAAATGCTTTCTTTGGTCCTAGGCCATGTAACAGCCACTCTTTATAATGAAAGTATCTTTTTGTGTACTGGAGGCACTGCAGGAAAGGGAGTGGGTAGTGTCAGGCTAAACTGTAGCTTAATTTTTTCAATTATGTTGACCAAATCTAATCTTTTTGAAGTTGAAAGGGCCTTTTGAAGGAAGTGTCCTTACTTTTGTAGATGATAAAATTCAGAGTTGGTGTCTCATCCAAGGTCACTTTGCTAATCTCCCTTAATGGCCCAGTGCCATTTCTGCAAACTCCGTTCACTCCTGACCCACTGTAAACCAAGCAAGGTGAACTGAAAAGAATCCACCTAATCTCATGGACGGCTCATTTTTAAAAGCCTTCAAAACAGTCTATAAAGCTAAGAGAGAGAGAGGTGTCTACAAACTCTACCAGATCTTTAGGCACTATGACAAGGCTTCAAATACTCTTTAATCACAGATCAACGTTGCGGGGAGGAAAAGCTAGTGACCTGGAACCATGCAGAGGCACCGCAAAACGTGCCCATCTTTCGCCCTCCGCATTTTTTTTTTTTTTTTTTTTAACCTCGAGCTTCTCAAGGACCCGGAGAGGGGGAAGCACACAAAAAACACCTCACCGGAATGAAAGCAAATGGCGACAGGAGAGCAGAAAAAGGAGACAGGGGTCAGTTTGCTAGCGACTCTGCAACGTCAAATGACAATGACAACACTAGGTGATGAAGCCGGAAGGGGCAGCAAATGGTTTCTCCCCAAGCGTCCAAGCACCGGGGGTCCACTGAGACCCGTCTGGACCCGGGGGTGGGAGTGAGGCGGGCTCTCCCCGGGAGATGGCGTTTCCTCCCGCCAAACCCTGAGAGGAGGGACGGGCAGGGACTCTCTCTGCCTCGGTCGGGGCCACCTGCAAGGGCCACCTGCACGGGGTCCCCGCGGCCGCAGCTGCAGAGCCCACACTCCCCCACACACCCCTGCGGCCAGCCCGCCCGCCCCCTCCCCTGAGGCCAGCCCCAAGTCTCACCGTGAGCCCCGGGAGCGGCCTGGGGATGCTGGGAGAGAAAAGGGAGCTGACGCTAGGGCTCAGGCCGGCCGAAGGGCACCGAAAACGGACCTAGGCCCTCCCGACGCCTCGACACAGACACAATGAGTCACAAAGGCCGGAAGTATGTCAGCACCTGGCCTTCCGGGACCGCGCTGCGCTTCCGTGTCCTCTCTAGGAGCGCGGGAGGACTTCGCATCTCGGTTACCGAATCTTTGGATTTAGCCTTTACCTTAAGACGGTCAACCCTTCACCAGCGGTCCTTAGCTTGTTCGCTCCCAGTTAGTTCAGGAACCGACGAGAGGAGAGTTCAGGCTTTTCCTGATTGATACAGATTCTCTAGCTCAGATACCAGTCCATATAAGAATTCGATTTGTCCTCTCTTTTCCGTCGTGGGCAGTCTATTTAGTAATTATAGTAATTACCAAGCAATGATATTTAGAATTATATGTCTCTGGCAGAGAAGCTGAAGCAAGGGTTTAGACAGACAAAGATCAAAGTGAAACCACGGGTAGCTGGTTTCTCAAACCTGCCCTGGGGAGCTTCTCCCAGGGTCCTGCAGAGAGATGCCAATTGAGTGGGTGGTATTTTCAAATACTTGGCCTGTGCACAAAGGACATCTTTCCACAAACAAACTAGTTAGAAGGTTCTGTGCTTTGCTCTGTGGCATATGCTATTATAGCAATTTAAAAAGGAGTTTTCAGAATGATCACAGACCCTTTTACCTTCAAGGTGGTTTCCCAACCTACAATGGTTATAGATCTCACTTTTACCTTGCAGGATAAAGCAGGAATAAAGCTCCACCTTGTGCACGGATGACCGCAGCCTTCCATGCTTGTGAACGTCCCGTATATTCCAAGACAAGTTTGTGGGAGAGACTGAACTGAATAGCTTGGTGGCATAACTGCCACAGCTTGGGGAGGTAACTATACAAAATACTACAAAGCTAAAACCCAATTACAGTACCATTAAAGGAGATTTGCAAAATGAAGGCACAGAATCACCTATAATTCCTTCCCTGTAACACAACTGCAATGGCTTAAATTTACCCTTCTCCTGTGTATTTCTGTTATTTTACACACTGTTGAAAACCTGAGAGGTTTAGTGTGATGAAGCTGCTTCTTCTGTTGCCTTCTGCTATCTTTGTGTCTCCTGGCTTCTTCAGTTTACCAAAAGATACATTAATAGAAATATGTTGTGCATATTAGATGTTATCCTTGCTTTCTGAATAAATGAGGAAGATTATAATGGCACACAACAGAATTCAACCTCAACATCTACAAAATTTTCAGCTATCTCCACCATAGGGAATATATTCCTGGCCAGCTTCCTAATGCTTATTCCCTCTTTTCCACCCCCTGCAGCCCTCTGCTTCCTTGCTTCCTCACATCCTAACAATCTCTTGGAGCTTTTAGTCTATTAAATGTTCATTTCTTTTAAAATTTGTCAATCCTCCCAACCTGTAATGGTTTGGGGGATATTTTTGCAAGAAGAAACAATATGATATACAGGACACACATTTTACAATATTATTTCTAATAGTCACCCAAAGGATGGTATACAAAAAAGTGCAAGAAATCTGTCCACACACCAAGACAAGGAATCTAGCCGAGAGCCTGGATCCCACAGTAATGTCCCACAATGAGTCTAGCTGAATATCTACAGCTCATAGCAATGCCTCCCACGAATCCAACTGGAGGCCCAGAGCCCACAACAATGTCTCATGCAAACCTGTTTCACAGGTCTGCGCCAGGAAGGTCCAAAGGTCAGTGGTGGAATCTAGGAAGTCTTTGCCAGCAGGATGAAGGGTCTGTGCTAGCAGGCTGAGAGCTCTATACTGGAGCCAGAAAGCGACGCTCAGAAGAACCAGAGCTCCCCCGAAAGGTACTACAGCCATCCTCATAAACAATGAGGTCCCAAGTTCGCATCAGGGAAGCCAACACAGAAAGTTTCTCCTGGAGACCAGCAGTGCACCATCTTCCCCTCCGGAGCCAGGAAACGATGCTCAGAGTAAGGACCAGAGCTCCCCAAAAGTAAACCAAAGCTATTCTCAGTACCAACAAGGTCCCAAGCTTCTCGAAGGATGAAAACAGCCAAGTTCATCAGGAAAGCCAGCGTGACAAGCTCCTCCAACAGAACCAACAGCTCTTTAAGCTTCCATCTGCTCCAACAGCCTTTCTCTGCTCCCAACAGCCTAGTCTCTCCTTCTCTAGTTCTGCCTCTTATGCTGCTGGCAACAATCCCCAGGTGGGCCTCCCACACCCAGCACCACACTTACTCAGTTCAGCTGGGGGTTATAAGTTGACCACCAGTTATCAATCCACTATACAGCCTCATCCCCAAAATGCCCATAAGGACCAGCCAGACAATGGATGGGATAAATTCAGTTGTTACCTGGGGGTGAGAAGGGGCTGTGGTGAACTGCTGCTCATCTATTAAGCACAGGCCCTGGCTGAGGTAGGCAATCACTGTTTGGGCTCTTGTTGCCTGCAAGGTGAGTGCTGACTGGAATTCCTTTTCTTCCCAGAATAAACTCTTTCTTCATGTTGCATGAAGAAATTCTCCGTGTAATCTAGAGCTGAGCTCACTAGGTCCTCGGGGAAGGAAATTGCCCCTGGATATTGACAGATGTAGCTGGTTGTTATTAATTCTTAGCATTACATCTTAGAATAAAATCTCCCAATAATTTTTGTGGACATCAGCACCATGGGATTGAGTCACACAGGATCCGCTATCTACCTACTGACTCTGACTCTCCTGACTCCTTCTAATAAGGACCCTTGCTATTACACTGAGCCTATGTGGATGATCCAAGATTATCCCTCTACTCAAGATCTTTGACCAAATCTGTAATAAGGTTGTTATTTTTTTAACTAGGAAAAGTAACATATTCCAAAATTTCAGGGTTAGGACATAGACATCTTTGTGGGGCTATTTCTTATTGCCAGAGTTTGAATCCATGCCTGCATGTTGTATGTCCAGTTCCCAGGTCTCAGGCACCTATAAACTTGCATCCCTTAGCTCCTGCTACTGCTGGTGCAGCCACAACCACTGGTTTGCTACTAGCTGTCACCCCTGCATAGTGAGTGACACCAGCATCTCATTGGTGAAGAAGTCTAGAAAGTATAATGTGTAAGGTCTCAGAGTTCTTCAACACAGAACCAATGCAAAGGGAGGAAAATGAGCTGAGAGACCAAAGCAGACAATGACCAGCAACCTCCATCACATGGCTTCTCAGCATCCATTCTCACCCTTTCATCTATTTTTTTTCCTCTTTTTTTTTAGTTTTTTTCCGGTACCGGGAATCGAACTCATGACCTTGCGCTTGCCAGGCAGGTGCTGTGCCGCTGAGCTAAATCCCCAGCCCCTTCACCCTTTCATCTAGATCTATGCTTCACATGGTAATAACACAGCATTATGCTTTCTGTATTAGTTGTTTGTAGTCATTGCTGAAACATAATACCTGACACCTACAGTTTAAAAGTATAGAGACTTATTTGCCTCACAGTTGCAATGGATTCAGTTCATGGTTGATGGGCTCCAAAGCAGAAACAGCATGGTGGAAGGGTATGGCAGAGGGCAGCTGCTCACTTGATGGGAGCCAGGAAGTGGAAAAAGAAAAAAGTGAGTTAGGGACAAGAATCCACACGTTCAGGTCATACCCCCAGTGACCCATCTCCTTAACCAAGCCCCACCTCTTAACAGCACATTCGACTATGAACTCATCAATGCATGAATCTACCGATGAGTATAGTACCCACATGATCCAATCACCTTCCAAAAGTCCCACCTCTGAACACATGAGACGCTTGGGATGTTACAGCAGAAATTCCCCTGGCACAAATTGGGCTGTATTCCACAGCAGACCGGAGTCTATTGAGAACAAAACTAGAGTTTAATTTGAGGCCAGCCACCCTCACTTCCCTTGCCAGTCTGGAAGCGGGGCAATGGCCAACTTTGTTTCACCTTATATACATTTTGGTTTCCATTGGCAACAGATTGGGATGTTACATTCGCTGACCCCGGTGGGCATATGGTGTTTCTCTCAGCCTGTTGGACCCCAGGTCAGTTGCAGGTCACATGTCTAACCATGATAGATGTTTCCCCCATTATATTCCATTTGTCTCCTTTTTTACAACCTATGCATTCCTTTAGGGTTACAATGTTTACCTAGGGTCAGGAGATGGAACTGCCCAGGCAGGGTCACAGAGGGTTACCTAGGCCTAGGTGCCCCCTTATCTTGGGGAGACATTTCCGGGCAGTGTTGATCTGGGGAACTAGTTCTTGCACTGTCCTGGGAGGCTTCCCAAGGCACCATGTAGGCTTTTACCAAAACTATTTTATCTAAAATAATATGCTAAGATTCATTGCCCCCTACAGGGAGACATTTTAGATCTAAACCATAATACTTTCCCTTCTGGTGCTGCAGGAGTGCCCCACATGAAATGAAGTGACTGGCTTTTTCCCATAAAGTACTCTTAGGCATGTGTCTACAATGAATGTTGTTAGTTCTCTTTTAGTCTGCTTACAGGCTTACCTACAGTCCAGTCTGTAATTTAAAGTTTGAATTATAAAACAACTGTTCTTGATGTAAAATCCATAACATTCCTTCTATTAAATAATAGGGAAAACAGAGAGAGGAACAAAGAACTGTTAGTGAACACATAGAAGCACATAAGTATATACTAAGAATGAGGACAAAATATGTATGACGCTACAGGTCTTGTTTCTGTCTTGGCTGAAAATTGGCAAGACAGAAAAATTAGAAGCATGCTTTATACTTACACTGAAATAAATTCCAGGTAGATTAACATTTTGTGTGTTATGAAATTGTCTCTAGGTAAAACAAAACCACGTGAGTAATAGGAGGAAGAGGTATGACTAGTTATACATATTGGGGCATAGTGTGGGTATTTAAACATCATACCTAAAGAGTGAATTCATTAACTTTTCTGCCCAGCAGGTAGGTAGATTTTTAAGTTAAAATCTTCCTCTTTAGCTGGGCATGGTGGCACATACCTATACTCCCAGCATTCTTGGAGATTGAAGCAGGAGGATCATAAGTTTGAGCCCAGCCTGGGCAACTTAATGACTTAGCAAGACTCTGTC